TGCACAAATGGTTGCAAAAAAACTGCTGGAAGACATCCTACCGAGGTATGGTATGCCAGCGCTCCTGAACTCTGACAATGGACCGGCCTTTGCTTCTCAGGTAACTCAAGAGTTAGCCAAGACACTGGGGGCAAAATGGAAATTACACTGTACGTATAGACCCCAGAGTTCGGGGCAGGTAGAAAGAACGAATAGAACCCTAAAAGAGACCCTTACCAAATTAACCATGGAGACTGGCGGGGACTGGGTGGCTCTTCTTCCCTTTGCCGTATATCAGGTGCGGAATTCACCCTATCAGTTAGGATTAACCCCTTATGAAATTCTGTTCGGGAGACCTCCTCCCATCTTACCTAACCTGAAGGCTGAGTTGATTGCTGAATTTGATAACTGACAATTGCTTGATTCTTTAGAAGCCGTAGCACAAGCTCACAAGGATATATGGCCTCATTTAAAGGCTATCTACGAGGCTGCTCCTCCTCCTACCCCGCATAACTACCGACCGGGAGACTGGGTCTATGTGCGCAGACACCGCCAGAAAAACCTTGAACCACGCTGGAAAGGACCATAAATCATGCTTCTAACCACACCGATGGCTCTTAAAGTCAACGGGATCGCCATCTGGATTCATCACACCCACATTCGGCTTGCAGATCCCCACGATCGACTGGAGGATTATACTTCACAATGGAGGTTCAACAAAGATATGGACAGTCCCCTCAAACTGAAGCTGTGCCGTTCTTGATAGTTATCCTAACACTTATTACAACTGTATGTACTGCTCCCCTTAACCCTCATCAACCCCTTAACCTCACTTGGCTAGTCAACAGAGACTTCTACGGGAGAAATCTTGGCCCAGGTCTCAAAAATAGCACCCCTTAACACCTGGTTCCCGGAATTGGGTTTTGACCTACATGCTTTGCTCCCTGATTGCAGTCCTTGGGAATTACGCCATAATTACGTCTATGTTTGTCCCAGGAAGAGGGCTGATAAGGGCTTGAGAAAACAGTGTGGGGGAGCCAATGATTACTTTTGCTATTCTTGGGGTTGTGTGAGCACGGGGGACATTTACTGGTCACCTTCAGTAAAAGGGGATCTCAACGTCAGAAATGACACCCCCTCGACCCTTCCTAAAAGCCATAAGATCAAAACCTGTACCCCCAGCAGTAATTGTCACTTCATCCCTATCAAGATAATCTTTACCAGCACCGGTAGACAAGATACAACCTGGGAAACAGGAAAGACCTGGGGGCTAAGGTCCTATAACAAGGTCTGGTCAGTCTCAGGAGGACTATTTACCATCATCCTACGAAAAGGAGTTCCCAACTCTCCAAAACCCATACCCATTGGCCCAAACCCTGTCTTAATTCCCCCGGTGATACCTAAACCAGCTACGCTCCCCCGATGACTCCCAGATCTGCAACTGCAGTTCAGGAACGTCACTCCCCAGGTATATATTCCCATACTAAGAGCCTTCCTTTCTCCTGCTATCCTATCTGGGAGTTGATGACCAAGACCTTTGAAGTACTTAACTCCTCCCAACCTAACCTGACAAAAGAATGCTGGCTCTGCCTAAATGCTCAACGTCCATTTTATACTGGAGTAGCCATAATCGGAAACCACACTCGGGTCAATCTGACCCAGTGCTCCTGGGGACTAAATGGTAAACTTTCTCTCCAACAAGTGACAGGAACAGGGACTTGTGTTCGGTCCCCTAAAGCCCAGCTCCCTATAGGGCTCTGTAATCAAACCATTGATATCTCAAACAACACTTACTCAGCTACATCAGGGTGGTGGGCTTGCTCCACAGGACTAACTCCTTGTATCCATGGGACAGTCCTCAACAAAGGTAACGGTTACTGCGTTATGGTGCAACTGTTCCCCAGGATAACTTACTATGAAGAAACTAGATGGAGCTAGCCTTTTCCCCCATTCCTTCTTCCAGAACTAAGAGAGCTATAGGGGCAGCAGCAATTTTACTATCCTCGTTGGTTGGCCTAGGAATAGCTGGGGCAACTGGGGTTGGTACCTCAGCCCTAATTTTTCAGGACAAAAATTATAGGGCTCTCCAGGTAGCCATCAGTTCTGACCTCAAAAATCCAGAACAGTCAATCACTAAATTAGAAGAATCTCTAAACTCCTTGGCAGAGGTTACTCTACAAAACAGAAGAGGCCTAGACCTCCTCTTCATGCAACAACGAGGCTTATGTGCAGCCTTAGGGGAGGAATGTTGCTTCTATGTTAACCACTCGGGTTGTTAGAGATTCCATGACGTTGCTTAGAAAAAGGATCAAGGATAGAGAGCCTAAAAGCTCAGGATGGTATGAGCAATTGTTCAGTTGGTCTCCATGGCTCACCACCTTACTCGAAGCTTTGACAGGGCCTATAATACTCCTCCTATAAATGCTGACTATAGGACCATGTATAATTAACCGGCTGCTAACTTTCATCAGAGAACGGGTAAATACAGTCCAACTCATGGTGCTGTCGCAATATCAACCTCTATATACTATAACCTCTACCTCCTCCTCAGACCCATGATTGGGCCTGAAGAATTTACTATGAGAAGGGGATGTTGGGCCCTGTTTAAAAAATAACAGGGACATCATCATTTCAGGCTCAGGCTCTTTGTTCCTTAGAACTGACCTGAGCACGACCTCATGCCCGGAATGCACCATAACCTAGGTATGAACCCTCCTCTGGAACGCACCATCTCAGCCCTGGTCCAATCATAATTAAGTAAAGCAGGCCTTTGCTCAAGGTGACCAAATGAGGAATAACTCTAGCCACATTCCTCATGGCCAAGACACAGTGGAGTAAAAGCCAATCCCAATATGCCAAGATGCCCTTACCTGAATAACATCCAATCTGTTCACCCCCAGGATGGGAAGTCCTGCCTCCTGCCCTTCCCCAATAAAAACCTGTCGGGGTGAGGCTCGGGGCTCTCTGTGCAGATCTGCTGTGTTGGTGAGGTCGGAGAGCCCGAGTTTAAGCCCGAATAAAGGCTCTTTGTTTTTGCATGCGACTTCGGACTCCTGAGTGGTCTTTTGGGGTCTCGCGATCTGGGCACAACAACAGGTGACCCCATCAGCTGACCTCACCATTCCATACTGGGATTTGAACTCAGGGCTTCTTGCAGGTGTTCTACCACTTGAGCCACATCTCTAGCTTTTTGTTTTTTTGAGACAAGATCTTGCTGTTGGAACTTTCCATTCTCCCACCTCTGCCTCTCGAGGGCTTGGATTACAGATGCACACCATCATACTTGGTGCTGACAGCTGTTCTACGTTGGCTTTTTGCTTTCTTTTTTTTTTTCCTTGTGGTTAAGGCAGATAACTTGCTAGTGTTATCTGGTAGGAGTGTTACAGTCTTAATGTTAAAAAAAATAGGAAGGAACACATACATGAACTTCAAAGATAGACTGGCTTCTGTTTGTAGTACTTATCAAAGTTGCAGTCTCGGGCAAGTTCACTACCTTCAGATTCAGTTTTCTCATCTTTAAAAATGAGCATGGTGGTTGCTACTTCATGGAGTCTTTGGGAGGACTGAATGAGCAAAGGCCTTGATCCTGATAGGTCACTCAGGAAATATTAGCAGTAGCTTTTTCTTTGTCATTTTTCCTTTTTTTTTTTTTTCCTTTGGCAGTGATGGAGTTTGAACTCAGGTCCTCACGCTTGCTAGGCAGGCACTCTACCTCTTGAGCCACTCCATCAGCCCTCATTTTTCCTTTTGATGTTCCATACTGATGAAGCAGCAACACTTTACATGAATTGAACTTCACTTTCCACCTAAAGGTATAACAAGAATAATAATATTTAAATAAAAAGAGAGCAGACATTTATAATATGCTAGGCTTTGATATAAGCACCTTACCAGCCTTACATAATTGTCACAGTAACTCTGATTAGGTACCATTGTTACCTACTTTTCAATTATGGGAAATGCTAGTTTAAGCCAGCTAAGAAATTGAGATTTGACTCCTGCCAGGCTGACTGTAGGGCCCTCTTCTTACTTACTGTATTTTGAAAATTCCACAGATGAAACAAACAAAAAAATTAAAGAAAAAACAAAAGCCAACCAACCAACCAACCAAAAAAACACTTTCATTGGTTTCTGAGACCAAGAGTCATTGTGTTGTTGAAGAAGAAAAATATCCTGGATTTAATAGTAAATCAAGAGAGAGCTGTGAGAGAGAGGCACATGCTTTAGATCCAGGTTTTTAACCAGAGCTCTGTATCATTTTTATATTTCTAATTATATCTTTAATTCTCTATTCTGTGGCTCATACTTAGAATCCAACCTCTGGAGCCCTGTGAGGCAGATCTGCCATTCCTCTGGGAGCAGATCCTTGCTCCACCCTGCCCTCCATGGGGCCTTTTGCCCAAGACATCAGACTCTTGGAATCTTGGGAATAAAATTTATTCTTTGGGACCATTTAGTGCCTTTTAAATTCTTTTAAAAAAAGATCAGCCATTTAAAATAGATGAAAATCTTGTTTGAAACATCCAGAGAATCATATGCCCAAACAATCCACTGCTTTGTTGCACTTCCCATAAAAGACTTAACACATCAGTAATCAGAATTCCTCATGTTGTGCTGAAGTTTTTTCCTTAGTTGATCGTTAGCCATTTTTCACCAAAGACCAAACCTTTAATTTTTTCTTAATTTTTAGGATAGTTCTTTTCTCTTGAAACCTCGCTAGAAGGAAGTGACTTAATATAAATGACTTCTGGAATTCAGTCTTCTAATGGCAGAAAAATTAAGTGAAAAGGGAATTTTAGACTCAGGACCTTTCTGTAGATTTGGTACTCTCCTCAAATAGGCTGTGTGGGCTTGAGCAAGTCACTTCACCAGTCTGGTCTTGGAGTGATGTGGCATTAGGACTACATGATAGCAAAACTTCGATTTAGTTTAAAACTTTTGTGCTTCTATGTGATAACCCTGCAAGATTATGTTTATTAAATCTTCCGCACAGTCGCTAAAAGATTATTCATTTGTTACAGCAATTTTTGATGTCTTCTTGTCTGAAGAACCTCCAACTGCTCTGTTGATAGCCCAGGAAGACTGCATGCTGTTCACTCTTGATGCCAAGCCAGGCCCTCTCAGAATCCCGGATCTTAGTCCTTCATGGAGACGAGCTCCCAGCAGGAATGGCAGTGCAGGAAATTGGCACCCAGATGGTCCCGCCATGTGAAATTGTCACGGGCTATGGGCTGACGTGAGAACGCCTGGTAACTGGACTTGCCCTCTGTCAGTCACCCAGAGCAGGACAGCATGGTGCGGGTTCACAGGAGGAGGCTTCTGGCATCTTGCCTGTGCGTGACAGCTACTGCCTTTCTGCTTGTCACCCTCCAGGTACCAAGAATTTGGGTTGTGTAGTGTTGGTTCATTCCTGGGGCTCTTGCCATTTTCCATTCCTCCCCAATTCCATTTTCACAGAACTCCAAGTTCTTTACTTTTTGCTTAATCCTTTGGGTTAGGGACTTTCTATTCTCTGAGAAAGGGAGAATGTTATTATTATTATTTTTTCCTGCTGGTGGTACTGGGGATTTAGGGTTTCCCACTTGCCAAGCATTCTATAACTTGAGCTATGCCCCTAAGTACTTTTGCTTTTAGTTTGCTTTTCTGGTAGGTTCTTAGGTTTTTTCCTTGGTTGGCCTTATACCTTGAACTCCTGAGTAGCTGCAACTGCAGTTTTATACCACCATGCTTAGCTTTTTATTTGGGGTGGAGGGGGGTCTCATTAACTTTTGCCTGGACTAGCCTCAAACTGTGATCCTTTTATCTGTCTCCTGAATAAGTAGGATTGCAGGTGTGTGTCACTACTCCTGGCTTGGGAGAATATATATATATATTTAATTGGTTGGTACTAGAATTTGAACTCAGGGTCTCATGCATGTTCTACCACTTAAGCTACGCCCCCAGCCCTATTTTTGCTTTAGTTATTTTTCAGATAGGGCCCTGCATTTTTGCTCAGGTCATCCACAGACTGTGATCCTCCCACTTATGTCCCCAAGAGAATAGTTTTTTAACTGACAAAACCGATGTTTAGAGAAAGGGTATAAATGAGTATAGTGAATGGGTGTGCATTGAAGAAACAAAATCATCAAGATTGGGGTCAGTTTGTGATTCTTTCAGGGTCCTGGTTTTAGAAAAACAAAGTAAATTTCTGTCTTACTGGGTGGATGGATGGTGGATGTCTCCTCAGTGTTTCCTGGCCTCTTCTAAAACAGCGTTTTTAAAGAAATGACTATTCTGTGCACAGTATGTGAAAGATATTCTATATATTGTAGTAGGTGAAGAATGCAAACAACTGCATTTATCAGTTTCCTGATACAGACTTGATACAGTCCAAAGATTATGTTAGTGGGAGTGAGTTGAAACCTTTCTCTAGTCTTCCCACTTATTTCCAAAGTCATTTGTTCTGAAGTTTGTTGATTTCAAGTTAAAATAAAAATTTCTCAGTGATGGTAAAAGTTTGGCCTTGAGCTCAGATATGTTCTGCTCCATTGAAATACCAGCTGTCCATTTCACAGTTCAGAGGACTGTTACAGATATTTGAGGATGTAAGTAGTTCAGGTGTGGGACTAGTGGAAACCAGGTGTCTCCAGGATTTTTGACTACAGAGTGTCCCTTCTTTTGATTATCTATGAATGACAAAGTGCTTATAGAAGCACTTCAGCAGTGGAAATGCTGGTCTATACTTTTACCACCTTCTGCTGCCTGATTAGCATTCTGGGCAAAGGAAACATTTAACTGCTTTCTTATCTGTCTTGGAGGAATCTAGGTCCTGCTGAGCTGGAGCTGTGGTTTTCCTGCCTCTCTCTATGAGAAGTTAAGAAGGAGCTTTGATCTTACCAGCCATTTACCATGGCATTATTTCCAGGCTGAGAGGGTCTGTGTTTAAACTAAGGGCTTTTCTTTTGATGTCAGAATGAATTGCCATGTTCTTTTTGGTGTTGCCAAGAACTCAGGGCCTCGGCCATGTTTTTGATGTGTGTGTCATCTCTAAGTTTCTGGAGCAGGAGAAGTGGTGTGAGTACTGGAGTGAAACCTTTGTCTGGCTCAATTTTGGTTTTACCACTAATGGTGTGGTGTGGGCTGTTTCCCAATCCTCACTGGCACATTGGGTGCTTCATTGTCCAACATTGTGGTAATGTTAAAAACAATTTTTTAAAAGACACTGCCAATGAAAAAGTATAATGCTTATGTATTCAGAACCATTACTGTTTTTACTGCTTTGTAGGGTAGACAGATAAAATGATCTGCCACATAAACAGGGTAGAAGAAGGATAAATGAAAAGAAAAGTCATGGATCTTCTGTTTGTCTGCTAGGGCCCTTATAACAGAGTACCATGGGCTGGGTGACTTGAACAACAGAAATTTATCTTCCTTCTTTTCTCCTTCCTTCCCTCTTTCCCTCCCACAGGGTCTTGCGATAAGGTAATGATTATAAAAGCATTTTAAAAGCCACACACTTGTGATGATCCTTCTGCCTCAACCTCCTGAGTGCTAGAATTACAGGTGTGTGGCACCATGCCTGGCTCCAGAGATTAATTTTTTCACAGTTTTGGAGGCTGGGGAGGCCAAGATCAAGATATCATCTGGGTTGTTTCTTCTGAGTTATTTCTCTTTGACTTACAGATAGCTTTCTCTCCCTGTGTCATCATATTGCTTTCTTTCTATACTTTCCCTTTTATTAAGACCAGTTATACTGGTCGAAATGGCCTAATTTTAACTTAGCTATTTCAGTATCATATCTCCAAATATAGTTACATGCCACTGTCCTACAGGTTAGGGCTTCAACGTACAAATTTTTGGAGTATATAGTTCAGCCTACAACAGACTCTATAACATAAATTATTTAATTAATGAAAATCTAAGCCAGAAAATATAATATTTACACAGTTAAGTTAAAACATTGTTGTCATCCACATTTAAAAGTATTGTGTCTGTAATTCTTTGGGTATATAAGTAGTTTTCTTTTTTTAATTATTATTTAGCTAATCCTCCCCCCTTTGAAATGTATTTTTCTTTGTTTCTGAATTTTACTTATTCTTTAGTTGAACAAATGATTCATGAATATGTTTGGAGTGTTAAGCAAAGCTTAGACATAATAGCATTTCACCTGGATATATATTAGCATGATTTTCTAAATTTTAAAGATAAGCACTTTAAAAAAGTTAACATAAACACTATCTCACCCAGTAAAATAAATAATAATTATTCAATACCTTCTATATATGCTAGGCCTGTTAAACTTTTCCCAGCTGCCTCAAAAACTTTTTATAATGGGTTAGAGTCTGGAATAAACAAATTCTACACATTGCATTTTGTTGTATGTTGCAGGAATTGAATTTTGTGATTATTTTTTCTTTTGGGAGTTTCTTTTGCCCCACATTTTACTCCATGTCATAAATTTGTTGAAGAAACTGGCTTTTTTTGTCCTTTTGAGTTTCTTAGATCATGGATTTAGCTGACTTTATCTTTGGGGTTTAGTTTAATAAATTCTTCTATCTCTCATATTTCCTGTAAGTAAGCATATCTAAAAGGAGAAATACATTTTCAAGAGCTCTTTTAAAGAAAAATCTGTCATTAAAACGATCTATGTTATTGTATATGAATTTATACTTCACATAGGAGACATTGATCAGAAATGTGGAACAAATTTTATCTTTGAAGTTATATCCTGTGGCCCTTTAAAAGCCTTTTTTTTAAAAAATTACTGGTTGTACATTCACAGGGGAAGGTCAAATGAAAAGGTAGTTTGGGCTATAAATCTGCTTTATTCCATCAAGCTTCTGGGGAAGAGCCCATTATTATATTATAAAAATGCTGAGAAAGCGATTGGCGAGGATTAAAACTTCAGTTTTCAGTTATTGATCTGCTGGCTTAATGTGGACCTTGGTGTCACAGGGATCCATGATTTTTTTAAAGCTAATATATTCCTTACTGCTTAGGGAGTACTACTTCACTTAGTGGTTCTTCATATTTTTGCAGTCCTTGGATACATTTGAAAATCTAATGAAAGTTACAGACTCCATGTGATCAGTGGTCAGTGGTCAGTGACCTTTTCCCATACCAAGAGTAGCAAGCACATAAAAAAGAGACTGTTCTTGGCTGCTCTTCTTCCATATATTTTTTGTTAGTTTGTTTTGAGATAGGGTCTTGCTGTGTAGCCCAGGCTGGCCTGGAACTCACAGTGCATAGGCTGATCTTTTTTTGTTTGTTTGGAGGTACTTGCTAGGTAGATGCTCTACTAGGCTGATCTTGAACTCAGTCCTTGTGCCTCAGTTTCCATGCTGGGATTACAGTTATGTGCCACCAGACCTGACTTTTCTTATATACTTTAAATCATCTCTAGATTACTTTTAATAACTAGTACAATGTGCTATTTAAATAACAGTTATGCTGTATTATTTAGGAAATGGTGATAATAAAAAATTCTTTATGTTAAGCACAGATGCAGTTTTTTCTTTGAATACTTTTGATGCACAAATGGTAGAATTCATGCATGCAGAACCTGTAAGTACAGAGGGCTGGCTACATAAAAATGTAAATGTGCCTTTCTTCAACCTGTTTATTTACTTCGTAGTCTGAACAAAGTACTAAAATTTCAGTTACATATAGGTTAGCCCTTTCCTAACATATTTATGTACGCCATATCAATATCAAATCTTGAAGTCTGGTGAAAAGGCAGCACTTTTGGAGAACAACTGCCCTACCGACTCTGCCCTCCAGATTACTGTGTTTGATAGCCCAGCTGTCCAGTGACTCAGACCTAACAGTACTCAATGGTCCCCTCATACAGAAATTTCAGACAATTGAAGAAAAAAAGAAAAATAAATTTAAAAAAGGGACTTTGCAGATGGGATTAACATGACACACCTTCAGGAGGGGAAAGGTTTTGGCATCTCTCAAAGTTCGTGTGTTAGAAACTTAATCCCCAATGCAACTGTGTTGATAGGTGGGACCGTTAAGAGGTGATCAGAACATGAAGGCTCTGTCTTTATGAATGATTACTACCACTACCATAGGCATGCGTTAGATATTTTGGAATATCCTGGTAAAAGGATGACTTTTGTCTCCTTCCCTTCTCTTAAACCCCTTGACCTTGGACTTTCCAGTCTCCAGAACTATAAGAAATAAATCTCTGTTCTTTATAAATTACTCAGTCTTAGGTATTCTGTTCTAGCAGCTCAGAATGGACTAAGACAGCAGGTTAACCTGAATTATCAACAGAAACCCAAAGTAATCATGAGTCATTAAGGGTAGAGAGTTCCATGTGTGGTGGTACACATCTGTAATCCCAGCACTCAGAATGCAGAGGCAGGAGGATTGAGAGTTGGAGGCCAGCCTGAACTATATAGTGAGACCCTGTCTCAAAAAACAAAGGACTGGGATGTAGCCCCTAGTAGACTTGCATGTACAAGGGCTTGGATTCCATCCCCATCTTTTTCTGACTGTGGTGAGAGAGAGAGGTAATGTCAGAAGAGTCAGAGAGATGCAGCATTGCTTATTTTAAAAATGAAGGAAGGGGGCTATGAGCCAAACATTGTGGGTCACCTCTAAAAGTCAAGAAACTGGATTTGCCCTTAGAGTCTCCAGAAAGGAACAGAGCCCTGCTGATCCAGGGAAGTCAAACTTCTGACTTCTAGAACTGTATAATAACAAAATACATGTTGTTTTAAATAAGTATGCTTGTGGTAATTTGTTACAGTAGCAATAGAAAAATAATTGGTGACTACATCATCAAGATGAATGGGAGATATACCCAAGAAAATGAAACAGTCTGACTCTGGTTATAATTGTCTTCACTTTTAGGTAGTGGTTGAGCTGGGAAAGTTTGAGAGGAAGAGCCTGAAAAATTCCAATCTGCAAGATGGATATAAAAAAGTGGAAGGAGAGCCTAAACTTCTCAATCCATTTCTTAAGAAAGAAGCCTTGACCTTGAGTGGGAAGAAAACGTTGGAAACTGGCAGTTACCCCATTATGCTCTGGTGGTCTCCACTGACCGGTGAAACTGGGAGACTGGGCCAGTGTGGGACAGATGTGTGTTACTTTACCATCAACCGCACCTACGTCCATCATCACATGACCAAGGCTTTCCTCTTCTATGGTGAGTAGGGCTTTCCCTATGCTCCCTTGGATTGTTGTCTTACTCAGAGCAGGGTTACTGCTTATTTCCCAAGACAGATGGTGGAAGTCCCTTGCAGACACTGCACACCTAGTTTCCCAAGTTTGCTATGTGGAAGGCCTGAGCCCTCAGCAAAAACTAAAACCAAACAAACCTGAGCAGCATGGATGTGGTTGGCTGGGTCACTTGGTATTTGTGGAGAAGAGATATTTCTTCTCACATTTTCAAGTTAGGTGTTGTGCTTATCGAATTTGCTATTCATGTGTTTGGATATTGCTTATCAATTTAAAATGTCACTTGTGATAATGGAAGGATATTTGGATTTTCCATGGCAGGTGTTTAATTGGATATAGATCAAGCATGATGTTCTTTATTTCTTTGATGTTGGATTAAAAGGATTGTTTAGCATCAGCTTTCAGGAGCAAGTTGGCATTCATTAGTTTGGGGTTTGATGCTTGATAGGCAGGCTCTCTACCACCTGAGCCACATCTCCATCCCTTTTTGCTTTAGATTATTTTTCACATAGGGTCTCAAGATTTTTGCCTACGGCTGGCCTCAGACCACCATCCTTTGACCTTCATATCATACATACCTGGAATTATAGAAGTATACCATCACGCCCAGTTTGTTTTTTGAGATAGGGTCCCTGTAACCTTTGCCTGGACTGGCCTCGAACCTCTGTGCTGCCATCTCCTCACCATGGCTGGCCTCACCAGTTCTTGAGGTTGATAATTCATTGTGCTGGAATTGAAGAATCACCAAACCCAGACAGATGTAAAAGTGTATCTCTTATCCAGAATGCTTGTGACTATCTGGAAGTATTTCTTTTTTTTCTTTTTTTTTTTTAGTTTTTGAAAATTTGTGCATCAACAATGAGATATCTTAGGGACAAGACCCAAATCTGAGCACAACATTTATTTTGTGTTTCAGATATACTTTATACACATAGCCTGAAGGTAATTTTATGTAATAGTTTTGTTCATACTTATTTATGTTTTTTGGTGGTCCTGTACTTAAAAATCCAGATCCTGGCTAAGTGGTCCAAAGGCCGGCTAATCCACTTGCTTCCCACTTTTACTCCTTTTTTTCCCTTTTATTTGTCATTTATTTTGTCAGTACCTGGGTTTGTGCTTGCTGGGGCTCTGGGGCTTGAGCCATGCAGCCCGTCTGCATAGGCTTCAGGAATGGGGGCTCTGGGCCAGGCCAGGTTGGCAGCTTATTTGTCATGAGAGAACAGCAGCCAGAGTAGCACCAAGTGCTTGTTTTGAACATCATTTGATTTCAAATCAAATATATATATATATATATATATATATATATATATATATATATATATATATATATAGTATGTGGGATCACATTGTAACACCCTTTTAAAACCCCAAAATTCTGAATTTTGAAACAGGGTCCTAAAAGCTCGGATAAGAGATTATGGTTCTCTCTTTGTGCTATACTTTGGGGTGAAGCAAAATTAAGTGTTGAGTTTAGTTTTCCAATTTTTGTTTGTTTTTTGAGACAGGGTCTCCCTGTGTAGCTCAGGTGGGCCTTGAACTTGTCCTCTCTGCCTCCTGAGTGGTGGGATTACAGGTTTGTGCTGTCATACCTGATAGCCTGGATTAATTTCCCATTTTTAATAAAAACCCTAAGATGTGTTTCAGTTATATACAAATACAGAGATAACATAGTAAACACTTATGTACCTACCACATAGCTTGAGAAATAAAACATCACAACTAAAACTGAAACCATCAGTGAGCTCCTTTCTGATCATCCAGATGACATTCTGCCAGTCCAGTTTCCTCAGTTTTTAACCCTAATGTGTCCTTCTGTATTTTTCTGTCCCTCTTGAGCTATGCCCTCAACTTTTGCTTTGGTTTGTTTTTCAGATAGGGTCTTGTGCTTTTGCCTGGGCTGGCATCTCCCATTTCTCATTATTCCTTTGCTCTAGGTCTTTTCTGAGGGCAGAAATATAGTTTCTCACAGAGGCCTCCTTTCCTCACCTTCTTTCTAGAGTAGTGTTCTCTTTACTGCTTTCTGATGGTGTAAGTTCTTAACCCTATTTTATTTTTTGTTTCATGTCACCCCGGAAGTTGTTGGTGGCTAGTTTACCAGTCTTGGGAAGAACATGGACTTGGGTTCACTGTATCCTCACTATTACAATAGTGCCTGGCCTATAGGAGACTTTAGCCAACATTGTTGAACAAATGATTGAATGAATTACACAAATGTGATGCTTACATGGGTTGAGGAGGAAATGGGAATATGTGTAATTCTTATCTTTGCTGAGTTTGAGATGTTATATTATTTATCCCAGGTCATCTCTGGCATTCTTCTTCCAGGAGTTTATCAGACCCTATAACTAAAACCATGTTTTGTTTAAATTACATTTTATCACATTTATTCATATACATAGCCAAGTATACATTTGGGCATAAGTTTTATTTCCAGGAAACAGAAGAATCTGCCCCCATTTTTATAGAAACAAATCATTTGTATAGAAACAGTCATTTTCAGCTGTTTAGTTCTCTGTTTTCTAAGTAACATGCTTATATTATCATTCTTTATAATTTTGTAATTTTTTAATTTCAGGTATTACCTGTCAACTTCCCAAGAAGGAAGATGAGGATTTTAGTTAGGTTATTATTCAGGGTTTACATGATTTTAATTCACATAATTACAAATCACAGCTCAGCTATGTGGAGCTCATTATTGTATTATTATTATATTATGTCAGTATTTTGAGGATTTTTCTTTTGGGTTGGTTAGATTCCCCAGTGAAGATCCTTTTACTTTTTTTTTGCAGTACTGGGGTTTGAACTCAGGTCCTACACCTTGAGTCACTTCACCAGCCTTTTTCTGTGAAGGGTATTTTGAGATAGGGTCTCATGAACTATTTACACAGGCTGGCTTCAAACTGAGATTCTCCTGATTTCTGCCTCCTGAGTAGCTAGGATTACAGGTGTGAGCCGCCCGGCACGGCACCCTGCTTCCTTTTACTTTTCAACCCAGAGGGTAACATTGGATGCCAACCTTCTGGAATTTGAGTGGGGGAAAGCCAGCCAGGCTTCTCAATAGCTAGCCTATAAATGACTACTTAAGTCTTCTTTTTTCGGTATGATAAGTCTGCCTGGTACCTGCAAACAAAAGACCCTTTCTTTTGTCTCCTAAGAATGAAAACCTCTAGGACTCATGTCAGGTAGGGAAAGGAAGGGGCCATTGCTCACCTGCCTGGAATTTTAAAAAAGATTTGGGTTTTTAATTTTCACTTCAGCTGACTTAGCTCCATTGTCACTCTACTTGTGGATGTACCTTGATGTCATGAAATTCTTGAGCATTTTGGGGGTTCCCAGGTAGATGAGGTCACTCATTGGATTCCCCCACTGTGGGTGTTAGTTTCATCCTTCTTGAGTCTGTGCTTTTCATAGCGGTCACATCTCTCTTTGTTGCTTTGGGATTATACCCTTTCAGAAGAAAGCACAAAACAAAGAACAAACAAAAAGCTCCTATCACTCTAGTGAACAGTTATTTCATCATTTCACTATTTTTAACTCTGAACTTACGCTTATTCATGATTTGTCTGACAAGAGTCAGGAAAATAAGAATTGACTCTCCTAAAATCTTGGGAAAGGAGGAAGAAAATATACTCAGGTTGCTTAAAGGTCTGGATCCACAGCGTGGATGTCATATGCTTAGCAGGGTACTATAGGAAGTCAGCCTGGCCACTTTGGGGACTTTGGTGTTACAACCTTTATTATAAAGTTGGATATGATTGATTATCATTTTAGCTACATAAGATGTGGTAGCTAAGGTTAATAACATGAAGAAAAGACTGTCATGAAAACAGAGGGTATCATTTTATGTCCAGTAGGAAGCAGGTATAAACACAGTAGTCACCCAGCTGTCTGAGTACTTGGTAGGAGAGTAAAAAAAAAAAAAATCAAAACACTGGCCTTGACTTTGGTCTTTATAATAGAACCTATGCTGAGTCTTGTAGATTGTTCATGTATTATAAAGTGTAGGTCATTCTTCCAACTTGTATCTAATTAGTTTCCATCTCTACAATGTTTTTGCAAATGATACTAGAATGAAAAAAGAACCAAGCCAAGCTTCTTTACCATTTAAATTTCTAAAACTTGAGAGTTTATGAGAATCCTAATTTTACTACAAACCAGTGGTCCCCAAAACCTAGCTCATCTTAAGATCATAGGTTAACAACCAGCAAGCAAAAAATTTAATTCTCAGGGGCCCAGCCCTGGCTTATTCCTTGAGAACCTCTGCTACTGTGGTCTCATGATCTGCCAGAGGTTTGACAGTTTGTCCATGTGAGAGAGGGGCTGGAGAAGCTTGTTGCAGAGATTTTGGAAGGTGTGCAAAGAGTTAGCCAGGGATTTGAAAACAAAACATTTTAAAGAAAGACAATGTAACAACCATAACAAAATGGTTTGATTCAGCAGTGAACAGTATTTATACTTGTAATAATGAAAACACTAGACATAGACTTAATAAAAAATGGATGAGGGCAGAAGACAAGTGTGTGGAGTGGTAGAAGACAGGTAAATGTACATCTTCCATAACACCAAGATAGTGGATATTAGCTAACACTGAGAAAACAAGAAAAAAACTTGTCATTCAGATATTGTTAAAGTGCAAATACAGAAGAAACACCTGGAGGAGCTGGAGTGATGACCTCTGTTGTGTAGGAATGGGAGTGGGGATGGAGCAGCACACTGCTGTCCCCTGTCATCACCCAATGAAAGTACAGCATTTTACTTTTAAAGCTCTGCATAGTTACTGATTTGATATAATAAATACTTAATTAACAAAGGTATTTTGTCTCAGGAGAGAGTTAAGCACAAAAGCAGTAACAAAAATTATGAATAAATTAAGTAATTTCTAGGCTTTTTTTTTTTTTGCTTCATAAGGTACCTTTTAGCAAAAATGTTAGTTTTAAATAAGTTAATCTATCTTACAGCTAAGATATT